TAAACTATTATTATAAACTAAATATAAACTGATATTTCCTACTGACAAACTACAGCAAAAGATATAAATTCCTGGCTTAAAACCATTTGTGTTTGTGTTTTTTGGTTGGTGAAGATACTAATGGCCTAAGACTTTTGCACAGTAGTGTGTGTGTGTATATATATATATATATCCAAATTCAGTAAATAATCAAACAATTATTTAGAACACCACACTAATTATGGACATATTTTATTAACATCTGACAACAAGAAAGTGGCCAAATGTAAAATATTAAATACTATAATTATTTTATATATATATATATATATATATACAGTATATAAAAAAAAAATCAAAAATAAGTCTTAGTTCATCACACTGTTTAGCTAACATCTGACAGACGGAAATGATCCAAATACTGATAAAATGATAAAACACATATGCTGAAATATAAAAAAAAGTTAATTTAAACCTTTCAGACTTTTTGTGCACTGTTTTGCCCGATAAATGTGATTGTGTAATTCAACAACATTCATACCGTTTAACTGTGGTTTAAGTTTTCAAATACAACTGTATGCACTATTAATGATATTAAACTTCAAACCGAACTTTGAATCACACTCAAATGCCCTTGTGCGTCTTCAAAGTCAAGCCCTATTCAATATGCATTCAACACGATTGTGAAACATGCCGCTCTCAAACAGTTTGTCAATGTCAGTTAGGGAACATGCTAAGAATTAGAACTGGAACGTGATCACACTAATAATGCAAAAACTCCATAATGCAACATATGTATCGTCCTGCGGGGTACGAGAAACAAATGACTAGTTGTTCATTTACAGGGATCTTCTCACGACTTACTTTGGAGTCCCCGTCAGTGGTGAGATTGAAGACTGGCATTGTGCCGGTAATGACGAGCCCCAAACCCTGTAAAACAAAACAAAAACATACTATGCAATATAAAATGTTTGTTTTCATCGCTGTGAACTAAAGGAAGTTCACAGTACACTGCACACATGAATAAAAGACTGCCGCATGTAAACCGCCGTCCAACTCGTAGTAAAATGATATGGTCAATGACAAAGCAAACTAGCTGTGGAGATTCAAATTTGTGCATTCTGGAAAGAAAACAAAGAATGAACAATATCACAGTCAGTGGCCGCCTCTAACAATGCAATCTGAAACTCAGTCTTAAATCAATGTTTGTGTGTTTCAGTGTTTCCTACAGAATGTTGTTCTTGCAGCGGGGTGCTGTAAACCCCTAACGCGCTAAACAACATTTCTAACAGCATTTCTTCAACAATTTATAAACAAAACACTTATTTTAATAGAGCTCTGTTATGCATATGTATATTTAAGCACACTTTGTCCCTAGACCAACCAGTCAGTAAGTAGACTGAATAAAGTTTTACTAACCTTACAAATGAACATTCATTTCAAAAAAGTTTATGACTCAGACTTAACAGTGAGAGCGGTTCAGTGAGTGAGTCATCCAAGCTGATTCACTCAGAAAGTGAGTCACCTGACTGATTCAGTCCATGATTCAGACTGATGATGCGGGTGTTCTATACCGATTGAGTCACTTACTGGTGAATCATTCGAAAGAATCGCACCAATCAGTGGATTTATTTGCACAGAAATGCAATACAATTCAACTATTTATTGTCAATATGCTATTTTGTAGTTAAATGTATGTGCAATGATTCCTATTATCAGCTATATTTCATATATTTAAAGGGTACGTTTACACAACGATGTTGTACTAAAAAGAGAAAAGTTTTCCTTTGCGTTTTGATTGTCAAAACAATCCCCATTCACAGGATCCACAGAAACGACTAAAAATGCTGTTTTATGCATGCCAGGCCAGTAGTTGGCGATGTCACTTTGTAAAAAACACTATGCGCATGCATACATACCTATAGACACATAATACGCATATGCATGATGTCACCATTTTCACAAAACAGTATTGTTTTTAAAAACTCCAAACGGTGTTTTCAAATCTCCAAAATGCCGTTGTTGTGTGAATGAACATCCAAAATGCATAAAAAGTTTTTAGCTGAAACTGCTGTTGTGTAAATGCCCCCTTAATCAGTGGTTATCAAATGGTCGGTCATGAACCCAAAATAAGGTAATGGAAATATTAATGTCTACTATTGATTATGATATTAATATAGATGCTTGATTTAATGGCATTTTTCTGCAAGATAAACAAGCATTTAATAAATAAACACACAGATCAAGTGGGCTCAGATTCTGCGCCGGCTGATCCATTGGCCATATTTGAAATTATACAGTGAAAGTTTGAGTTTGCTGAGTCGATGATGGTACTCTTCCATACCAGAGCATCCTGGTAAACATTGGTCCACTGCACTTGTTTAGCCCGTTCGCCTGCCAGCACCATTGGCCGTCCAAGAACATCCAAATACTCCTGATAACAAAAAAACAACAACAAAGAATTCATCACTTTATTCCAGTTCAATTTTACAACAAACACACCCAGAATCACCAATCGAAACAATCTATTCTCAACAGATTACAACTAATATCACTCTGAGCTCTGGAAGTGCGACACTAAAGGCAGGAGTCCACACCCGTCCCTCTGTCATAAAGCAAACGACTGCGACTCGCCGCTCCATTACATAAAGCACACTGTTAAAAGCGTCCGCCCGGGGGGCCAGTAAAGCCAGCTGCACAGAGGCACTTCCAGCCGTAACAAATCACCATAAAGCAGCTATTAAAGCATATTACAGCTGCTAGAAAGCACATTCTTGCTCTGGAGGGGTAGGGTGGGCTGCCACAGGACGACACTTGTTGGGTCGCCGTAAGCACACGTTTATAAATGACACTTTGGATTTCAACACAACCCTCTTTGATAAAGCTGAAATAAAATAAAGCAGAAATATGATATGAAAATATGTACAAATGTAAACACAAATTAGAAATAAGTTATTAAAATTATTAAAAAGTAATTATTAAAATAAGTTGAAGTAATAAAAATACTAAAACGAACTAAATATATTAAAACCAAACAGAAATAGAAATGAAAAATGTGTATACTAAAAATATATATATATATGTATATATAGATAGATAGACAGACAGATAGATAGATGAGAGATGATAGATAGATAGATAACACATTCTTGCTCTGGAGGGGTAGGGTGGGCTGCCACAGGACGACACTTGTTGGGTCGCCGTAAGCACACGTTTATAAATGACACTTTGGATTTCAACACAACACTCTTTGGGAGGTTAATCATTCAAAGAAGTGAACCTCACTAAAAGTGTCTGAAAAGAATGGGGTCATATTAGACCCCAAAAGAGTCAAAAAGAGAAAATGAAGCTTATTTTAGGAAAAAATCTCATTCTCACTTAAAGAGAGCAGCCCGGAAAATGGAGCGCAGCTGGAAGAAAACAAAACTAGAGGAATTTCGTATTGCATGGCGGGAAAGTAGTTCTACTTATAGAAAAGCTCTAAAAACTGCTAGATCTGCTTACTTTTCGTTTCTCTTAGAAGAAAACAAACACAACCCCAGACATTTATTCAATACATTGGCTAAATTAACAAAAAATAAAGCATCAACAGACACAGAAGGTGCTTCCAGAAGTCATAGGTCCTCTTCTGAATATTATTAATTTGTCAATGTCATTGGGATATGTCCCCAAAAACCTTAAAATTGTCCGTTGTTAAGCCTCTCATAAAAAAAAAAAAAAAAAAAAAAAAATATATATATATATATATATATATAATAAATGTAATAATATTCTATATTATTATTATTACATCTATTTATCTATCATCAAAATTATTAGTTAATCAAAATAAAGCTGAAATAAAATAAAGCAGAAATATGATATGAAAATATGTACAAATGTAAACACAAATTAGAAATAAGTTATTAAAATTATTAAAAAGTAATTATTAAAATAAGTTGAAGTAATAAAAATACTAAAACGAACTAAATATATTAAAACCAAACAGAAATAGAAATGAAAAATGTGTATACTAAAAATATATATATATATGTATATATAGATAGATAGACAGACAGATAGATAGATGAGAGATAGATAGACAGACAGATAGATAGATGAGAGATAGATATAGATAGTAGATAGACAGACAGATAGATAGATGAGAGATAGATAGACAGATAGATGAGAGATAGATAAGATAGATAGACAGACAGATAGATAGATGAGATAGATAGATGAGAGATAGATAGACAGAGATAGATAGACAGACAGATAGATAGATGAGCGATAGATAGACATATAGATGAGAGATAGATAGACAGATAGACGAGAGATAGATAGACAGATAGATGAGAGATAGATAAGACAGACAGACAGACAGATAGATAGATATACTTAATTGTCACAATAATTTCACAATTTCAAATGAATCCTAGAAATACTTCACCACTTTTGTGTTTTCAAATTTCCTAAAATGTCCATGTTTTCAGTGCCTGTGAGAGCTTTTACACAAAATATAATTAATTTTTTTCCTGTTTATTGTGACAGGAATCACTCTACGTCGATGGCGGGCTGGGCAAACACATTTCAAAATGCAATCTTCCAACTTCAACATCTTAACACAACTAATGGAGGGCCAGAAACTCATGTGGGGAATATTTTGTCTCTTTGAAAGCCAGCAGCTTGTGTAAGTGTGACCTTTTGATGAAACTGCAGCATTAGGCCACTTTTATTTCTTGCTGGAACATGGAAGTGCTGACAAGCGTAACCTATTCTATTATTAGCTCACTAAAACACCGTTTAACGTGCCGTGGGGAAACATTTCAGCAGAGACGATGACAGGCGGACCTTTTCACGCGGGAGAAAGGAGAAAGGTAAACAGCGGTGGGCCGGTATAATGGCGGTATGAGGGGATAAAGAGCAGTGACACAGCAGGCCACCGCACAGATTCGCTTGTAGATTTCCAGTCTGTTCATAAACCTTCATGAACTCAGTGCAGCAGCTCAATTATGAAGGAGCTGCAATCATATTCATATTGTTCTCATTATACTTAGCAATGTGACACTTTAATGTTACACAGGTAGAGAGTAAAGGTAAAGGCAGCAGCCTTTTGAACACTTTCACAATCACCTCAATAGCTTTCCAATCGCACTAATAATCTGGGTATTTATGCTGCATGTGATTAATTCAAATTAAGCATAAACGTATTATATGATAAAATAATCCTATATACACTACCGTTCAAAAGTATATCATCAATAATATATAAGAAATCAATGTTTTTATTCAGCTAAACTGATCAAAAGTGGCAATAAATACATTTATAATGTTACAAAAGATTCAATTTCAAATAAATGTTGTTCTTTTAAACTTTAAATGAATCAAAGAATCCTGAAAAAAAGATCAGTTTCCACGAAAATATGAAGCAGCATAAATGTTTTCAGCATCGATAATAATAATAAAATGTTCCTTGAGCAGCATATCAGCATATTAAAATGATTTCTGAAGGATCCTGTGGACTGGAAAATTCAGCTTTGCATTATAAATATATTAAGATTTAAAATATATTCCAATAAAAAGCACTTTTTAAAAATTGTAATAATATTTCACAATATTACTGTTTTTATTGTATGTTTGATCAAACAAATAATGCCCTGGTGAACAAGATACTTTTTTTTCAATAAAATTAAAAAAAAATCTTATTAACCCAAAACTTCATATATTTTATAGTTTGGGGTTAGTAAGATTTGAGACCACTGACATTGAGATCTTATTCAAGATAAAATTTTGAATGTTTTTATTTTATATTTTCCATTTTAATTTTAAATTTAAAGTTCCAGTAATTTGTATTATTTTTTTTGTCATTTGTATTACTTTGTAATGTTTATACAGTTTTTTAAATTATGTATGTATTCTTATTTCATTTTTAGTTTTTTAGTACATAAAGTTAAATTGAATGAAAATGAGAAATGTGGTAGCTGAAATAAACCAAATAATTTTTTTTGTTTCAATTTCTTTTATTTCAAGTAACAATCTTTTTTAATGGTTTTAGTTAACCCTAATTTACACAAAATAATAACTGCCTCAACGACTAAATTGCTTGTATCCTTTCAAAATGTAAACTATATTATCGCCCAGCTATAATCTGCTAAATGCGACTATAAAGCATGAAGATATTCAAGATATTATAAGCCTCAACACCATGATTTACCGTAAAGCAGTTTTGAAACAATGTGTATCGTGAAAAGCACTATATAAATAATTTGACTTGTCCATGAAATTAGACATTCATTAGAAGAACTTTTTGCAGGTTGGATAGTTTTTCCTGTCAGAAATCCACCAGCATGTGCAAGCAATTGCTTTGGAAGTGTAGTTGGTAGTTATTTTTGGCACCGGCCGTCTACGGCTCTCGGAGGTAACAGTATGTGACAGGGGAGGAGGTGCTGAGGAGCTGCGCAGGTGTGGTGGCTGCTGCTGTCCATATATATATACAGTTAGGTGCCCACACCTGTCTCACGCAGGCTATTAGAATAAGTGGCAGTTCTCTGAATAAAATTACACTCAGCCTAATGGAACAGCTGATGGCCTATTGATCAGCTCGCCTGCGGGGAGGTGCGACGCACGCCGAGGGGAAAAAGAGGGAGGCGGGATGGGAAGGAGGAGACACGAATGAATAAAGCAAAACTGGAATGGAAAAAGAGGGGAACAGATAGTAAAAGGTGATAGAGAGGAGATAAAGAAGAAAGGCCGGAAGAGAAGTGAAGAGCACTGAATAATCACACAGAGGAGGTGGGAAATTGGACCGAATGCTTTCGGGGAAGAGCGATGTTATTGTGGCAGGTTTCGTGGGCCTCGGGAAAGATTGCTGGAGGATAATGAAAACTGTACGGAAGTGGATTAGAGAAATCACAGTCCCATTTGAATCTTACTGACGCTAAATATAGAAGTCTGTATCGCTTTATCCGTTCATCTTTATAGTTCTCTCTATGCTCTCTAGCGTGACATATATATCTCTAAATTGTGATAACATCATAGAGCTTCAAAGCTGGCGAAGCTGAATGAACGTACAGTGAATTGGATTCATGTATGGAGGCCTTATTAAATTGGAAAATCTGATTGGCTGCCGCAGCCACTTTTGAAGCTGATATGAGCACACCTGTGAACGCGTATCAGCTGAAGATAAATTCTTTATTTTAATGCATCAGTATTGTCTCTCACATGGCTGTTGCTGTTTTATAAAAGAAATGAGCCACTCGAGGCCATGCTCTACAGTGATTTTACCACCATTAAAAGGGTTTTAGGTACTCTACTTCATGTCATGCCTAACAACAACCTGTATAAAATATCAATAACATGCAGTTGTGGCTTTCAAAATGTTAAAAAAAAACAAATTATATATATGAGGTTAGAAATATATTTTTTAATGTTTTTGAAATAAGTCTATTCTGCTCACCAAGGCTGCATTTATACAGTAAAACAGTAATATTGTGAAATATTATTACAATTTAAAATATTTTTTTTTCTATTGTAATATATTGTAAAATGTCATAGCCGTGGGAACATATTTTATCTGGGGGATGCTGGGGGCGGGGCTACACCATGATTTACCGTAAAGCAGTTTTGAAACAATGTGTATCGTGAAAAGCACTATATAAATAATTTGACTTGTCCATGAAATTAGACATTCATTAGAAGAACTTTTTGCAGGTTGGATAGTTTTTCCTGTCAGAAATCCACCAGCATGTGCAAGCAATTGCTTTGGAAGTGTAGTTGGTAGTTATTTTTGGCACCGGCCGTCTACGGCTCTCGGAGGTAACAGTATGTGACAGGGGAGGAGGTGCTGAGGAGCTGCGCAGGTGTGGTGGCTGCTGCTGTCCATATATATATACAGTTAGGTGCCCACACCTGTCTCACGCAGGCTATTAGAATAAGTGGCAGTTCTCTGAATAAAATTACACTCAGCCTAATGGAACAGCTGATGGCCTATTGATCAGCTCGCCTGCGGGGAGGTGCGACGCACGCCGAGGGGAAAAAGAGGGAGGCGGGATGGGAAGGAGGAGACACGAATGAATAAAGCAAAACTGGAATGGAAAAAGAGGGGAACAGATAGTAAAAGGTGATAGAGAGGAGATAAAGAAGAAAGGCCGAGACGTCAGTGGAGAGTGCTGAAGAATCACACAGAAGAGCTGGGGAAATTGGACTGACTGCTTTCAGGGAAGAGCGATGCTATTGCGGCGGGTTTCGTGGGCCTCGGGAAAGATTGCTGGAGGATAATGAAAACTGTACGGAAGTGGATTAGAGAAATCACAGTCCCATTTGAATCTTACTGACGCTAAATATAGAAGTCTGTATCGCTTTATCCGTTCATCTTTATAGTTCTCTCTATGCTCTCTAGCGTGACATATATATCTCTAAATTGTGATAACATCATAGAGCTTCAAAGCTGGCGAAGCTGAATGAACGTACAGTGAATTGGATTCATGTATGGAGGCCTTATTAAATTGGAAAATCTGATTGGCTGCCGCAGCCACTTTTGAAGCTGATATGAGCACACCTGTGAACGCGTATCAGCTGAAGATAAATTCTTTATTTTAATGCATCAGTATTGTCTCTCACATGGCTGTTGCTGTTTTATAAAAGAAATGAGCCACTCGAGGCCATGCTCTACAGTGATTTTACCACCATTAAAAGGGTTTTAGGTACTCTACTTCATGTCATGCCTAACAACAACCTGTATAAAATATCAATAACATGCAGTTGTGGCTTTCAAAATGTTAAAAAAAAACAAATTATATATATGAGGTTAGAAATATATTTTTTAATGTTTTTGAAATAAGTCTATTCTGCTCACCAAGGCTGCATTTATACAGTAAAACAGTAATATTGTGAAATATTATTACAATTTAAAATATTTTTTTTTCTATTGTAATATATTGTAAAATGTCATAGCCGTGGGAACATATTTTATCTGGGGGATGCTGGGGGCGGGGCTTGATGTTGCAGGGCGGGGCCATGGTGGGGGATTTTTGACAAAATCCTAATATTAAACAGCCCAAACTCAAAACAAAAATTAACATACAAATTAAGACAGAGTTATATGCGAAAATATACTATATTTGTCCTTTTGTGACTTTAGTTCAAGAATTTTTTCTTTAATAATTCTATTATTTAAGGGGATTTTACTAAATATTATCAACGCTGATAAGCAAAAGTTTTGGTCAGTGCACTTTGGCGAATTCTCTCAGAAACAACAAAGTGCAGATGTACATGCGATGTAAATAAGAGACTAATTCATCAAAAACTGCAGACAACATCAATGATTAAAACTTATAGCTTTTTTAAAGTGCTTACGCTCACGCTAGACTGAATTTAGTGATATTCTTTGATAATGTAAATGTACTTTGCTCGCTGTATAATTTGTTAGTTGTTTGAATAATCGAGGACATGCGGCATTATAATTAAACTTAAAATGTCTTTTTATTAAACGTGATCAGGTTAAATACAAATTCAGTCTTATTGAAATATTTTTGTCATAATATGGTAGCCTACTTGCCTAAAACGTTATGATGTGCGTAGTTAACAGATTACATTAGGCTACAGTGCCAGTGGTTTGAGTGCGTTTGACCGGATACTAGAGCGCAATTAAAGAGCTGTGCTTATGTGATTGCCGGGGGCCGTCTTGAGAAGCGAGAAAATGGCTCATAAAAAGGACGAGGACGTGAATGGTTTTTACAAGTCGGAATGTAAAATTACAGTAATATCGCGTGAACATTTCACATGAAATTCTGCGAGTGTGAGGGGGAGAAGTAGGGACGCACGCCACAAGGCACGCAAGTAAAATACAACCGCACTAGGCTATATTTCTGGTCAGTTTATCAAATAATTAATCACAAAACTATCACAAAAATTAAGTATCTTGGGGATGATCGAGGGGCACAAGGAAAATGTCAGACCCGGCCCTGCGGCGGGGGGTGCTGCAGCACCCTCAGCACCCATAGTTCCCATGGCCATGTAAAATGTAATTTATTCCTGTCATGCAAAGCTGAATTTTCATCATCATTACTCTTCAGCGTCACATGATCCTTCAGAAATCATTGAGATCTTCAGAGATTCTTTGATGAATAGAAAGTTTACTGTCACTTTTAATACATCCTTGCTGAATAAACATATTAATTTCTTAAAAACATATTACTGACCCCAAACATTTAACATGTATTGTATGTGTATATATATATAAAATAAGAAGCAGTAGAAATGACTAACCTGTGTGTTGATTCTTATGGCTCCAATGGAAGGGATCTCAAAGTAGTAACCTGTTCAGAAATAAACATGAACCAATAACATAGCTGGTTAATGTTGACATATTTGCTCCGCACCAAAATATAGTGAGCTGACTAACTAGGCAACAACTTTAGGGGTTTGCATGTGTGCTACAAACATAAATGCTGTTCAGAACAGACAAACCAGCAAAATTATATTAAACTACCTTGTTTTGACAAGAATCTAAAGCAGTTTTGATGTATTCTTTTTAATAGGAGTATTCACTGCGGCAAATTTAGTGCAATCATTTTAAGGGAATTAGTTGCATATCCATCACCATGCTAAAATGTTCAGAGAGTTGTCATGATTGAAATGTAATTTATTCAACAATTGATAGAAAACAGTTCCTTCTCATTTAAAAACACATTATTTCATCCAGTTGTGCGCTATTTTGTTGTGATTATGAATGTGTTTAGTTGTTAGTTTAGCAACACGCATTATATTTCAGCATGCAGACAGACTGACCAAGTGCTATGCATGTGTTAGCCAGAGACTGGGCCGTGCAGCGGTTTGATTTGTGTGCATCGTTAAGTATTCAGAGGCTGATTATTGAGAGAGTGGGCACACAGACAAGGTCAGTATGGCCTGCTCAACACACTATTAGACACAAGAGAGTCTGAACAGAGCACAACATTTGAGGTGCCGTCCTCAAAGTGTTTAGAGTCAACTTCAGACTGCCACTTCAAACTTACAGCCATTTTCTCTCAACACACTCACATAGAAATCAATGCTTACATATTTTACATGTTAAAGTATTAGATTAGATAGTGACTTTTTTGTGTATTTGTGAATTTGCCATGTTGCATTAAAAATCGAACTACTATATGTATGCCATAGCATAAAACACACTGAGATGTTCATAACTAACATTCAGACGTGAGAATAATTCATTGTAAACATGTTTAGTGTTTTTGTTACATACCGAAAAAACACAAAAACCGGTGTTAAAATAAAACAGATTTATATAATCCTCATTAATCTGAATCTACATTTACACAAATTCATCAGAATCAATAAAATCTTGAAATAGCCATTTTAGGTTGATAATATAGATAGACAGATTTTTTTTCGATGCAATAGTTTTGAATGCGCATATTTTCTAAACAGGTCCCATGTGTTTTTCTAATTATCTGTGGGATGAAAACACAAACGTGGTTGAAATCATTCGCCTGAACATGAATTCAGTTCAGCCTTCACTCAGTGTGCTGTTATTGCTGTAAAGGTCATTGAACAGTTTCAGTCAGATTTTGTGGCTCATTTGAGCCGAAACCATCATTAAGATAGAGGTCGGGTGTAGAGTTCACATCATCATAGGTTGTGAATGGCTAAAAGCTGGGCCAGCAAGATACGTCTGTGATTTTCTTGCTATCCGGTATCTAAATGAAAGAAATGTCATCGGTTCAATATAAGATAAGCCCAATTGACAACATTTGAGGCATAATGTCCGGGTACCAAAGAAAATAGAGTCATGCTGATCAGCTCTTTCAAACTATAATAAAGGTAAACAGGGCCATGCACTTTGAGGGTTTAAGAAACCAAAACATGAAATTCATGTTTTATATATGAAAAAGCACTACAGTATTATTTAACTATTACAGTACTAGTCTATTTTTTTATGTTTTTAAAGAAATAATATGTTTTTTAAATCACAATATGAGAATTATGCAAACAGAATTTTTTAATGAAAAAATACTGTTTTTAAGCAGATGTCTTTGTCAGTATTAAAAATACATAAATATTAATTTTGACAAATTTTTCCTTTAATAAATGTTAATTGATAAATAAATACTGTGTAAACATTAACAAATATTTGTTAAATATTTAATAAAGAGTAATTTTATACATTTTAAATAAATGTATTTAAAAGTGTTAAAATTGAATAAAGCACTTTAGTTTCCTTTCTCTAATTGAAATGTTTCAAATAAAATATAGCTTTCTGGCAATACTTTTTATAATATATATATAAATATATATATATATACATTTTTTTAAAGAAACAATGTAAATTTTTTTTACACAATATCACAACTACAGTACGTGAAGATAACATTTTTATAATTTTAAAAATACTATTGTTTAAGCAAATGAAAAAAATTTGAAAAAAACATGTCAAAACTGAAAAATACTATTGTTTAAGCAAATGAAAAAAATGTGAAAAAAACATGTCAAAACTGAAAATATATTAATAAATATGAATTTTTCTTTGACAAATTTTTCCTTTAGTAAATATTAATTGATTAATAAATACTGTGTAAAAATAACAAACATTCATTAAATATTTAATAAATAGTTCTTTAAGAAATGAATATAATGTATTTATAATATAATATATTTTGCCTTTTTAAAAACATTTTCCCCTTTCTCTAACTTTTCAAACAAAATATACTTTTCTGATAATTTTAATAGGTTTATACTCAAAACTGTCCCCAAAAACAGTGGGACGAATGAAAAAGATTTTCTGTGGTAACTGCCATCATATCACAAATGTTGTATTAGAATAAGCTTAACCTGTGTTGAACCGTAACGTCTCTTTACGAAGGCAGCGGCCCCTAAAACAACTGCAGATAAGGAAGACAAATCTAGTTCAGTTAATGAATCAGAAATAATTTAAAAGTCCTTAAAAGCGCATCAAAGTCAAGAGAATTAGAGTATAAAAACTAAAACTTAAAAAGAAAGTGTTCAGAAGATGTCTGAGGGTCAAACCACTCAGCACGCAAGAAAGAATCAAATCAAATCAATGCGAGTCGCCGGGAATCAAAGAGACTGGGAATTGGCTCTGATTCAGCGGCGGCCATACGAGACACTGTTTGTGTCAGCGGAGTGTGAACGAGCTCGCTGAGAGGCAGCCGGTGGAGTGACAACACACGCTAAGCCGTGTCAAACAAACATGTCTCTCATTGTTGCCGCCAGTCTGATCCCTTGACTTGGTCATGATTACAAAACGCTGAATCCATTTGTCTCCGCCGCACGGGTGACATGTACAACAAAACAATAAGACGCAGACAATCCGATGCAATCCGCGTCTTAACAAGCTCGTCAAAGAGTGCTCTGTGCATGTTCAGAGGAGGAAACGTTGTGTATGCATGCTACCATTGCTTTTTGAACGAACCTAGCAGTGGCTGCGAATGCTTTCAGTCAGATACGCTGTCGAACACATATTCTACAGCAAAAGTAGAGAAGCAGACGTGGATGTGGGCTTTTTGAGGGTGTCAGGGGTGTTCCTCTGCCGCTTTGTGATATCGGCGAGTGAAATGAAAGCCTGCGGTGAAGATGGAGTCCGCTGAGAAAAGCGTCTTGCTTGCTGTGCCAGACTCTCCGTCCCCTCACTGCCAGTCATTACAGCGGAGAACACGGCCGCACAGACGGCTAATCCTTAAGTGGAAGCGCTTTTGGCTGGAGACGCAGAGAAGTTGCAGACGTGGTTATCGCTGCAACGGCAGTTCCTCTTCGGCTAATTAATTAGACGGAAGGGAGGGTGGCGGGGTCTCTGAAGTGTTCTGCCACCGTTTGTTATTAACTAATCAGAGAGCTGGAGAGGGATGATTGTTAAGACAGAGTTGAGAGGGAGAGTGTTTGCGCTACAGGCCTGGAATTAACTTGTTAGGTCAGATAGGTCAACATTACTCGAGCGCTGTTGACCAGGATTACATGTAAGATTTTACAAAATGGACAGTTTTGCCTTTAAAGGGATCGTTTACCCCAAAATGCTGTTCATTTCCTCACCTTCAGGTCATCCAAGAATTTCTTGAATACAACAATAAAGAAGATTTTTAGCTGAAACTGGTCCTTGGTGATTCATAAAATGCAAGTCAGCGGCTGCCTGTCTTTGAGAATAAAAAAAGCATATCAAGGAACATAAAATGAATTCCCGTGGCTCCTGATGATATATCGAGGTCTTATGAAGCGAACTGATCGGTCTGTGCAAGAAACTGAACATTATTTATGACATTATTACCTGTAATCCAGAGCCTCAGCCGATGGGCCAATTCTTTTCCGTGAACTGGATCTTTTGAACAGTTCGTTTCAATGAACTGGTTCAATTCATTAGTTAATTCACGTAATCACACAATGACGTAATGTATACACAATTATATTATTAAAGCACCCAATAATGATGTGAAACATGGATGTATCACATGCTTAAAGCATATAAAGTGAATAGACTTCACCAGCTCACCTTTTACATAAACAATGAGAAACCATAAAAACGTTAATTTGGCGCCTTCATTCAAGTGCTTGGTTCACGCATGCGCATATCAGCATTGGACTGCTTCCTCAGTTCAGTGACTGTTGGAGGAACTGGAGCACTGAATGAGTTCAATCATCATAGGATCATATACAACAGTATTTTGGCTCATTTCGAGTTGGAGTGACTGTCTGGCACATCCAAAAGTGAGTTTTGATCGAGTCCCATTGTAGATCTGAGCTGCTTGAGGCGCAAACTGTTTCAGACAATTCAGTCCGACTTGGTGAACTGATTCAACTAGTTCACTAAAGCCTAGTTCACACTACACGACTTAAAACGTCGGCAGATCGCTGTGCTGTTCAGACTACAAGACTTCTTGGCTGTCTTGAAGTCGTTGTGGTGTTCACACTACGCGACACTACGTAAATCACACGCGAGAAGTTGAACGGGAATGACGCGAAACAACAAGTGAAACAGGAGTTGTTTATTTGAAAATGGACATCAGGAAGAAATTAGTGCTGCAAGCTGCTTGCGTGATGAAAAAATTAACTCCATTTCTTGTGTCCACACTTTCCTTAAAGCCGTGTTGCTGCTGCTGTTTTTCTTCCGCTGACCTCAACCCATGCCTTGCTCTCTCATTGGCTGTAGCTCGTCACGACACCTGACACCACGTAATGTCGAGTCGGACGACCGGTCCAGATATTTAGCATGCTAGATATTTGTTTGGTGTCAGTGACGTGCCAGCGAGCCTCTTTGATGTGTCGTTGAATAGTTCACACACAAAGATTGCCGAGCACTGATCACCCGCTGATGAGCTCGTTAACTTGCAAATCGGGCTTAAAATACTGTAGTGTGAACTAGACATAAAACGAATCAGTTCAAAAGAAAAATTTGTTTGCGAACCGGACATCACTCCAGACGGTTTGCCTGAGGCTCTGGATAACAGGTAATAATGTTGAAATGAATGTTCAGCTTCTTGCACAGACCAATTGTTTTGCTTCAAAAGACCTCAATATATAATCAGAAGCCATGCATACTCATTTTGTGTTCCTTGATGTGCTTTTTTTTAATTCTCAAAAATGGTCAGCCACTTACTGGCATGAATCACCAAGGACCACGGTTTCAGCTAAAAATCTTCTTTACTGTTCTACTGAAGAAAAAAAGTCACCTAGATCTTGGATGGCCTGAGGGTGAGGAAATGAACAGCAAAGTTTCATTTTGGGGTGAACTATTTCTTTCAAATCTGATTGGACGAGTCACATTCTGAGCTGTTGTGCAATAGCCACTACTAAATGTTAACTGAAGAAAAGTGAAGTAAGTTTCTGAAGAAAATTTGAGTGATTTGACACACTATTGTCCTGTTTGACACTGTAAAGCTGCTTTGACACAATCAGTATTGTATAAAGCGCTATACAAATAAAGGTGACTTGACTTGACTTGATGTTTGCCGCCACAATGTTACAGTGTTCTGGCTGGTCTCTAGGATTTGCTATGTGTTTGCCAAGGTGTACTTAACATTATAAACATGTTGCTAAGTGGTTTCTAGGGTGTTGCGATGCACTTGTTAGTTTTTTTTTTTTTTTTTTGCAAGTTGCTATGACGTTGCTATGTGCTTTCCGAGGTGTTCTTAACATAAACTGTTTCTAGGGTATTTCTACTAGGTGTTCTAGTCATGATGCATCAAATTGTGCCTAACAACAATCCTTAACCTGAAAAGTACAGATGCAGTTGAACAGCTGAAAAGTTCAGATTTAACCAAATCTACACATGCTCCCTCTCTTACCCTTGTTGGCACAGGCGATCCACTGCAGAGGAGTGACGTCATAGTTGTGCTGCCCCACCGAGAATGTGAAAACTCTCACCTGCGGATGGAAGACGGTTTATTAGATCACATAATCTGTGTAGCAAAAGGATCTTAAAATACAGAGTTGTTCCTTAAAATCTTTGGACCCTCAACTGATTTCATTTAACAGCATATGTATTGTTTTATCATTTCAAACCTATTTTTGTGAAAATATATTTGCAGTTTTATATTTTAAAAATGACATCTGATTTATGATGCCACGGCTTTGATGTTATCTCTTTGGTCTGAAATCTTGCTCCACACAGCTAAACATCTAAATATTTTGATTGACTGTGATTTTGTTGTGTCACACGCTTTTTTTTTTTTTTTAAGGAAGGACAGAAAAGCTGCTTGTTACTGAAAGGTCATTACCACACAGATGGAAACACCAGTATTGAATCGGATCGCCTCGACTCACTGTTTTGTTTGGCCAGTTGTACTTCTCAAAGATGTCCTGAGCGCGATCCTCGCCGCCGTCTGTGAACATCATTATCATCTTATTGCAGTTTGCTCTCGGAGCGCTGGTCTCCTGTGAGAAACAGAAACAGGAATGCAGAAGATTCGTTTCGAGGGTGTCAAAAGAGCCAGGTCAGTCTGAAACTCACTGGACCTGCCTTTATGAACAGATGTTTTTGTTTGTGAAAACCCTTGTGCTTTTATTCTATCCTTGCAATGCATTATTTAATAATAATGGCCAAATAACACTGTAACGTTTCAGGAGTGACAACCACATTTAAATACAGGAGTGAATCCTCTAAATTATCGTTTTGTGTGTGCATTTAAAACAGTCACTCCCGAAACTGTGATGATTGACACATGGTAACCATAGTACCATTCTGGCGTCATATTACAGCAACCAAAGACTCGTTATGTTTGGCGATTTCAACTAAACCACCATTGACAGAGCCATGGTTTTGTTTATGTTTGGCAGAGCCCGTTCTTGAAGGCTTGTCATGTCCATTTATTATAAGCAATGCTTATTATGTGTCTTTGGGCTTGGCTCATAAAGCGATCTTGTTTATTTTAAGTTAATAATGTTTTAGTAATGTCGCTATATTTTGGCATGTGGCTAATTTCCAAGATAACACATTTAGGTTTTTGTTTATTATGGGCTTGTTCTTATTTGTTTATTTTTATTTTATTTTTATTTATGTTTTTTAGCAAAAGCTGACAACACTAAATAGTCAAAATGTACTCTGTGATTTCTTGAACCACATATATAGAAAAAAAAATCTGATACGTGTTTAAATGCATCATTAACCACTATTCAGTTCGGTAGTCTCCGAAAAACAATGCTATCGACAGTTATTCTACTTTAAAAAGTGTGTTCCATGTCGGCATGTCTGTTTTTGTTTTGCTCTGTGTGGCTCCGCCCACTGCCAGATTACCCAATAGGATTTTGACACCCTGGGTTGCCAGTTAGTGGAAAACAAAGTGTATTGCAGTCATAGAAGCCAGCAAACGAACTAGATTAGAGATCGCAGATTTTACCCGACCTAAAAAACCTTGGCATCCATCCAAAATATGACATATTTTCACATAATTCATTTCAGGCCTGCTTGAATCAATCCACTACACAAATGACCTAGGCTATAACAGTGTCTCATTTGGCAGAGCACCCGCACATGTGTCCGAGCACTTATCCATGCGTGGGTGTGTGCGGGCACGTCTTTCCTCTAATCATACGTCTGCTTTTGTGCCAGCTGCCGGCGACTGTCCTATCTCTGATGATTTAGCCAAAAGTCCCCTCTCCCTATCCCGTCCAATCACAGCTGTCATTGACATTCGGTCTACGCCACATCACTCTGACAAGATTCTAATAAAGATAAATAATACTGCTGCAATTACAAATTTACAGTGATCTCTTCTCGGCCAATCAGGAGGCAGCGGGCAGAAAAATTAAAATGCCTTGGCGCTTGTGGATCTGAGAGCGAAAGTGAAAGAGAAAGTCAGAAAGAACGAGTCTCTTCAGTCGGAAGAGAATACAGATTCGTCTGTATCTCATCAATCAAACCATCACGATCTGTCAGCAGCAGTCAGCCAAAACAAAAAACACATCTCATATTTATTGTGATCTCAAACATTTCTCCTCAGATTCTTTTAGCAAGATCATTTGAAAGCTTACTGAATGTCAACTATCGCCTCATTTGTCTGTTTTTATTGCTCAGAAATATGAGAAAAAGCTGACACTTAAATGAAATATAACTGAGAACTCTGTTAAATCTCTGAACCACTCTGAAAAGGCAACATCTGAGCAATACAATTTTCCGCTGAGTTGGTAAGAGGATGTTTTGGCATTAACAAATTTAACTAAGCCAAATCCAGCTAAATCTAGCAAAAAAAAAACTCTCTTTGGGAACATCCAGGGATCTTCTCAAAGGTAAAATCATATTTTTTATATTCTAAAAATATATATCTATATTTTTACTTAACATTTGAGTTAGTATGCATGCCCAAAGAGGATTTTCTCAACATTGAAAAAGCTGCGTTTTCAAGATTGCGACAAAAATATTTTCTCATATATTTCTCTAGTCCCATTTATTTATTTGTGGAGTTTACAATTTCAAAATCTTCTGGACTTCATACCATTTCTAAGCACAATTAATTTTTTTTTTTGAAAGACATGAAAAATTTTATTCAGTAAGGATGCATGAAGTTGATCAAAAGTGGCAGTAAAGATATTTATAATATTACACAAGATTTCTATTTCAAATGAATGTTGTTCTTTTGAACTTTTCATCAAAGAATCATGAATGAAATGTATCAAAATTCAGCTTTGCATCACATGAATAAATTACATTTTAAAATATATTCAAATAGAAGCCAGTTATTTTAAATTGTAATAATATTTCACAATATTGCTCTTTATGCTGTATTTTTTATCAAATAAATGCAGCCCTGGTGAGCATAAGAGACTTCTTTCAAAACATTAAAAATTGCACCAACCCCAAACTTTAGATAGTTTAGTTAGTTTATTAACCCCTTAACTGTCACTCACATTTTTGAACATAGACGTGAAAGTGCACGATCCAAACTTACATTTTTATAATTCATGAACGAAAACATTTTGTAACATGATATTGATGTACCATTTTCATGGTAATGCAATGTTTGATTTTAAAATGGGTTTCAAAGGATGAATTTTGAGATTTAAAGTTTTCAATTGATATATAATTTCTGATGATTTCTAAAGTGTGATAGAGAAAAAGGCAACAAAGACGACTTTTTTTGACAAAGGTCAGAACTCCTGTTATGATGTAGATTTTTGAGGTGCACTCTTGTCAAAAATTAATCTATTACTTTTCCTACATAATTTAACCAATAACAAAAACATTAGACCTTTCCAACGATATATAGTTGGTCATGATTAGATTAGGATTTAATTGTAATATAGTGAAGTAAACTTAGGCGTCCCACAGAGGGGACGGGTGACAGTTAAAGGGTTAAAACGGAACTTACTTGTCTGTCAGTGATCTAGCACATCAAATTAAAGATAATTAATTAAACATCACAAGAAAACAAAGAGAAAAAAAATAATGCATGGCCTCTTAGGACTTCTGTAGGTTAGGGTTAGTCTGTAGTCATTATAATTAACTTTATTTGAAAACTTGAATGCAAAATTCCAGAGCATCTTCATGTAGATAACTAGGTAAACATGAGTGTGTGTGTCTTACGTTTAACAGCTGGTCAAAGGCAAACTGAAAGCCCGTCTTATAGTCTGTCGTCCCCTTCGCTTGCATGTTCATCACAGCCTCTTTAAAGATCTTCTTGTTTTTTATGTTGGCTTGGACCAGCGTTGTGAAGCATGGCACCACAGCGTACACTTTCTCATTGAACTGACAGAGAGACAGACAGAGAGACAGACAGCAGCTGCTTCAGCAAGTCCATTAAAGGCTTCATTATTCATCTCCATTAGATCTCACAGCATCATCATTTCTGCTGGTAACACTCGCTAATGGAGTCACTTACACCTGATTGATTTCTCTCGGAATTCATAATTTGCTTCCACTGCAGATGAATCAACTCAGATGAAACTTGAAATCTATTTAAAATCTATTTCACAACACTAATCATCTGGATGGTTTAATAGTGCTCAAATCGGAACATCTTTACATACGAGTCTGTTTTGACCATGCAAAACACACTGCTGTTAGGCTAAAGGGTCATGAGTGGTTGACAAGGTGCTGCTATGTGGTTGCTAGGGTGTTCTGGGTGGTTACTAGTTTTTTGTCCATTTTATCATCTGTCAAGTGAAAAAGAAATAGCACACTTCTTCACTGAAAGCATACACAAATAAATGCATTTTGTCTTGTCTTCCAGGAAAAAAATATATTAACATCCTTAAAATAAAATTCTTCTTTCCTGAGAAGCAAAATTGTATAAGATATGACATGAATATATCCTCAATTAACTTTATTTTTCCAACCTCAGTGGAAAGTAGTTTCATTTCATTCATTTTAAATAGATTTATTTATCGTTTTATTTGATAATTTTCGTTTTAAACACAGATCCCACAATTATTTTTTAGATTTACACTTAAAACAAAAATAAAATAAAAAACAAAATCAATTTACACTAGTACTACTGATTGTCTTTTTATTTTTATTTTTGACACAATTAATATCTTTGGAAGCTTGTTTCCACCACAGGATAAAAAAAGGTAATTGCAACTTTTTAACTCATAATTCTGAGTTTATATCCCACAATTCTGACTTTTTTTCTCAGAAATGCAAGAAAAAGTTTGAACTGTGAGATAAAAAGTTGCAATTACCGTTTTTATTTTTTTTTATCCCATGACGGAAACAAGATTCTATAAATACCTGTCACATCAGTACAGCTTTACTTACTGAATGCACAGAACTCAGCATAAAGCATTTATGTGTGTGTGTGTGTGTGTGTGTGTGTGAGGAAACACAGCTGTGAAAATCTGAGATACATCCGGCTGTCTTGATTACAAGGTTCCACACTGCAGGTGTGGAGGAAAGAAAATGCCAATGCAAACAAAAATGAAAAGAGAAATGGCATCCTAAAACTGCCTATAGGAAAAAAAAATCCCTTTGAGATGTCTTTTACTCTTCCTTGATAGAGACAGGATTAAAGGAAGAGCAAATTGAGACTTCATGAGAAAATGTACCAATGCCTGATTCATGTTCATGAACGAATCATTCTTTTGAGTCGGACTGATTCGGTTCTTGAGTTCAACTCACTGACTCATTGCAGCTCATTGTAAGGAAGATTATCAGCAAAAAATGACTTATATTTCAGTCTGTTTATCACACAAAACTATTATGGGCTACTTTTACAGTCCATTTTTTGAAGCTATTGCTTTAGCATCTACATGGAAAAGAGTGACCAGTTTGAATCTCTCTTTTTATGTTCCACAAAGAAACAAGGATGCATAACACAAACCGAATTGTAATTTTTGGCTGAAATGCCCCTTTAAAAAAGCCAAAAGGGTCCATTTTGATGATACTCTAGGCGTCTGGAGGTAAACAGCAATAAACACACATAGTGACTCTAATGTGGTCTAAGACTGCTTTTCTTCAGCAGGCTGTAGAATGAGCTGTGTTCCGGCTCAGATTATGATGCTCATTTTATGCTCTCAGAGCCAGGATTAGGAAACACACTGAGAGCCCCAGATCAGCCCGGATTACTGGCGTGGGCCTCCAAAACGCTAATGTTTCATTACATGTGTGTGTCTGTGTATATGCGCACGCATACTTGTGTGGGTTGCGTTTGTGGGCTGCTATTGTACAATCGCAATAAATGAACCCGCTGTAGATTAAATGTTACTGTGCATTCTGCATTTACATTTTCATACAGGTTCAGATTCATAGAGGATTCACAGGACTGAATATTAATCTTGGTGTTGTCTCAAATGTATTCACTAAGAATAACAGCATATTCTCACTAATCAAGCGATGTAACGTATACCTCACTTCAA